TGGTGTTCCTGAGGTGAATTAGCGTCCTCGTTTCTTCTAGATGACTGGTCCGAAGACATACATATGTAAGTTGCACAATTAAACTTGAACAAACTGATTTTTGCTTTAGAGCTACAAATCTTTAATCCTTATGATCCTTAGTGGATCCAATCCCCCCCCGCCCCCTCCCTGCCATAGTAGTCGCCGCATTTTAGAGCCGACTGGTGAGATGGGGGAGGGGGTAGCGGAGTATCTGACATAGTGACGACCAGTGGGGTGGGGGAGGGTGGGGGAAAAATTGGCAATATCGCCCCCCCCCCCTTTCAGGAAGCCGCCCTGGATTCGCCTATGATCATGATGCATCATTATTTGTTTTGTAATTGCAGAATATTGATCCATACGGACGGGAGACGCAACCAGCGCATCCGGCACATTTCTCACCGGAAGACAAGTACTCGAAATACAGGATAATAATTAAAAGACGATTCGGCGTTCTGCCCACGTTGCAGCCAAAACCCGTCTATTGAGAATATGTTGCTGTGGGAGTGGCGACGTAAATGGCGACAATATATCCGCAACCGACGACCTCCGTCTCGTCTAACTTATCAGCAACTCGTTAAACGGTTAGCAACAGCAACTTTTGTCTTATCAATTTTACAGGGGTCGCTTGGATGATTATCATTGCGAAGAGCCGTAGGTTTTCCAGAACGAGGTCACACGACGGTTGGACAGCTGTGTCGAGTCGACGGTCACTTCCCACGTGAAGCTGTTCCCCATCGGCTGCACCAAAAGCCATAAACGGATCTAGGACGGACTTCTGGGAGGCGCGACGGGTTGGGGATGAGAGTCCCCTCCCACTCTGGAACTATGCAAAAACTAGGATAGAGTTGTAACACTGCTACTTAGAATTGCTTTAGTTTAGAGTTTTAGTTTTAGATTATTTTAAGCTTTAGGTCATTTTAGTTTTAGCTTTAAACCCGAGGTTTTGCACACTGGTGCCAGTGCCGCGAAAGACCCATCGCCAACTCTCCCCCTGGATCCGCTTATGCCACAAATTCATTAGCCTGAGAATTGTACTGTGGAACATATCCCTGTTAATAAAATTCCTCAGCAGTTCGTTTTCCGGAAGAGTTGAAAGAACGGTGCATGGATATCAGCTGCCGGAATTGTTGGTGTGCTTCCCCCACTTTTGAGGGTTTCTAGAAAGCAATCTAAAGATGCTTTGCTGAGAATGCCAGCTCGGCAGTGAGATTTGTTGGTGAACTGTTGTACCGATTGGTCACTGCCATCCGCATTAATTCGAAATATTTTTTAAAGCGCCGTTGTATGGTGGCAGAAACAGATAGGAGGGGGGGGGGGGTTAGTAACTGGAGGTATGTAGCTGAGCTATGAAGACCTGGCATAGCTACGCTCGATGTCTGAGAGCATCAGTGACAAAACTAACATGAGATACCCACACCGATTGTTTGGATTATGAAATTACTGGTAATTTGCACTTTGCTGCTCTTTTATTGTAATATTTTTGCAGGTACACAATAGCTTCATTTTTCTTTTTCGTAATTGGATGGCATTTTACTGGATTTGTGGCCTGGAGGAAATACTTGAAATTTAAAAAAGAACATCCAGT